ACGAAATAAGCGGAGCCACATGGGGAGCGTCCGCCATTACTTGCCAGAGTAAGAGTTTCACCAAGGCGGCCAAGGCGGCCAAGAAAACATTTGCACATGAGATCGAGGCTATTTGTGCCGCATAGCCAGTCTGCCAGTCCAAAACGGCACCCAACGCCTCAAATCGCATGGCATCACGATCGATCCCCTTGGGAATGGTCCATAAAACCCTCGAGAGTGATTTCCGTAAAAACGACACGATCAGTATGCGTTCTCCTTCGTTGAACGCAATAACAACAGTTAAGCACTCATTACAAAGTTTTTTTTTATTAAAGAAACTGTTTAATAAAGTTGATCCACCAAAGCACTTTCCATTTCTCCGTCCACACCTCGTTTCACATTTCAAAAAAAAGCAAAACAAAACCAGCAAAATCATTGCAAATTCGTTCCAACATTCATCATGTCTCTGTGTGGAGCTGGCATGTTGTGCATATAATATATTGTCTAGCCTTATTAGTTGTTATTCTGCAAATACATAAGAAATTAAAGAATATTCTTTTTGAACCAAAAAAAAATTGTTTACTTTCATGTTCCTGTACAATATTCACAATAAATTGTTTTCTAATAAAAGCTTACAATCTTGCCAAAAATGTCTGGGCACTATCGTTACATCTGGTAAATACTAATACCATGAACTCACCCCTTCAACCCTGGACAATATTAAACACAGGGAGGGAGGAAATATTGACAAGTCTACTTTCGTAGGTGGAAAATGAACGTAACTTGCTCATGATACACGGGACGGACTTGGAAAAAGGGATATGTGTTCTCCAAACGTTTTGGGCAGGATTGTTGGCACATTAAGCTAACACCTGTCTCTTTTACCTTTCTATGATGATCACACGAAGTACAAAACACATCTTATGATTGGGAAAATATTCGGTGGCCAATGTCCTAAATTTACATGGATCTTTGAATATCAAGAAGCTCTTTATGGCCCCCATAAAAAAGATAAAAGTTTTTGCTTTTTTGCGAATTTTTCGCACAACCGACTTCAAAAGAATTTCACAAATAGGAGGTTCACAGTCTGTATAGTATTAAATCCATTAATCATTCCATCAATCAATCAATTCCAACTTCTTGAACATACAAAATTGACTCGGCAAAGATTAAGCTCTGCAACGGATTTTGAGTTAAGCTATGCTGTGTCCTGTATTAAAACTCTTGGAGATTTTCCTCAGCAGTGCAGATCCTTCCCTGCAAAATGACAATAAAGTATGCAGTTATTTACCATTTTATATATAAAAACGTGTTACACCATTTAGCGATGAGATTATTGGCTCCAGATTTCTATGCATGGTGGCTGATAAGGACTTCGCCAGAACCGAGGGGAATTAAGGATTAACTTCACGCGTATGTTGGGAAAAATTTGAAAATACACGTGAAATGAGTCCTTAATTGCCTTTGCATTGAATTACATTCGCGCACGATGACCTCGCGATGAAGCTATTTCAATGCCGCCACAAATGTCAAAACAAACTTAGCTGATCGATAGATTCAATGAACATTTTATTCCCAAAATACAGTTAACAACGTCGCACGGTTTCATTCAGTTAAATTGCAATCAATAATCGTTGCCGCAAACTGCAAAAAGGCTCAATCAGCATCAAGTAATCACGCCCTCTTGATTAACAAAAGTGCCTCGTGATTGAGAAAAAAATACCCTCTTTCTCAGCTAATCAGCAATCAGTAATTTTTCCCCGCATATGATAAATTTTATAACATCAAGAATAGCTCACGCTTTTATTTCGTTTTGTTTACATCCGCACACTGTTGGCTACCAACTGTCTATCGCAAAATATACTTCGAGTATCGTAGCCAATCAGATTTCAGTAATTGAGATAGAACTCTGGTAGATTTATTCAAAAAGTGATGGATGGCAAGCCTATTAAAGGTAGAGGAGCTCGATAACATTCGCCTTGGCCTCCTAGCGACAACACCAGCACCTGCGACAATAACCACGGAGTACTATTAGCGTGGAATATATACTTACTTCTGCCTGGTGGATCCACGTAAGGTGCCAGACTTGTTTCTCAAGAGAGGTTCGAGCTGTTCGGTGAGCTGTGTAAAATTCTTCTCCAGTTCTTTCTGATAGGCACGTTGATCAGATGCGATAAGCTGCTTGTTCCTTTGCAGAGCGTCTCCGCACCTAGTACACAGCAATAAAATTCCTTAGGACAGTAAGAGTATTGAAGTATTGTTATTCTAAAGTGACAGGGTCAGAAGGTAGCGGTCTGTCGGGAGGAAGAGCACCGAGTGACGATGTGCTGACATTTGGTTTCTTGCATGAACCACAGTGTACCGCGCAAATACCCGAAGGTAGAAAATGTGGCCCAAGGTAACGAGCGCGCGAGGATCCGTTGGACAACATAAAGTGTTAAGGTTTTTCTGTAAAAATACTTGAAGATAAAAGAGGGAATTCTGCCGCAATTAATATTTCGAACTTCTATATGGCGATTATCAAAATTCCCATCCAAACTCTCTCATTTTAATTTAAACAACGAAGGTTTCTGCTCATTCGTTAGCTTGGGCTAGCTGTGATGCACGTATATTCGGTTGAGTTGCTTTAACATTCAAGTCTTGTTGTTCTGTTACGCGTTGCATTACTCTCGTGAACATCGGGTTTGCCGGGAGTTCTTGGTTCTAACGGTAGTGGCATGTGCTCGCACAGTGCTTGAGATATTCTTGTTTCGCCTTAAACCTTTTTTCTTGAATAAAATCATGATTAAACTGCTGAGGAAGGCTTTGTCTTCAAGGATTTACATATTTAACTAACGGAGGAGACTGATTGATCAGAAGACTTTTTTCTTACACAAAAAGTGTTTCTTGACTGATTTTTATATGTCTCAGTTTGTTGTCTGCCAGGCTATACACACGCATTACCTTTTGATAAACTCTTTGAAACAGAGTCTGAGTCTGTGATGGTGTCTCGTGATCATTGGCGTTTCCCCGCCGTCTTCAGAGTCCTGATCGTGACACAGGAATACCAAAGCAATCTCTAGAGGACCCTGTAAAGACAGCACAACACACAAGCGACAGTTAGACAAGTCAGCCTTAATTAAGAGAGACTATATTGCTATCCACGAAAACAACATATTATGACTTGCTCTAAAATGTTGATTAACTGAAACCACTCACATGTTCTTCTCAAGTCTGGATTGAGACAATTTATTTTCCAAGAAAGAACAAGGAACGAGCATATTTGCAAATAGGAGGTGTACTAAACATGACATGATCATTAACAACCTTGGGTAAATGTTCAGTCAAAACCATGCAATACTCTAAAAACGAACAAACCGTAAAACTCAATCGGGATTGAGCAGGATATACCTAGACTGAGTTGTGTACTATCGATGAAAAAGTTCTTCATGTTAGGCAACTATCGTTGGTAAATAAAAGTGAAATTTTGGTTGTTTATTCCATCGTCTACCAACTACAATAGTACGGACCTTAACCAAACGAAGACCGCGACGGCATTGAGGACGTGGCACATCAAGATCTAACGCGCAGAAAAATAGCCGCTATTTTTATAGACGGCTAAAAAAGGTACACATGTACAGACACGTGCTTAGGCGAAGCACGTGTCTGTACATGTGTACCTTTTTTAGCCGTCTTCTGCATAGTAACAACATGAGCTCGACAAAATTTGCATGGTCTGACGACAGTTACCCCGACAGCAAATTATTTTAGGTGAAACTCGATGCTGATCGCCTACGTTATGGTGAAGTTGAGGAGTAGCGCAATATACTAAGTCATTCGCGGAATTCTATCTAAAAATATAAATTCATTTTTTAATCAACGACTTCCCCGGCGTTCTCTTACCTAAGGTCCCTGTCAACAATTTGTTGACAGACTGAATGACTGATCGACCGATCCATCGACTACCTGAGGACCACAACGAGATTACACACAAATAAAGAGAGAAAAAGATAGAAATGTGACCTGATTAACAGTGGTGCCAATAGAACCTTGTAACACCATTTGAAGCATCTTGGGGTTTGGTGGTTCTTGATTGATTGCGTTAAGAAGCTCTTTCGTCCTTAGTTCCATATCCTCGATGGCGACTTCAATGGGACTCAACACAATCTACAAGACCGAAAATAAATTAAATGTTAGAAGAAAAACACGTGTCTGAAGATTGATTTGTTACTCACAATTACGATACCTTAAGAAACACCACGTAAACTACATGCAGCAGTGAATAGCTACCAATTTGTGTCGGCAGTAGAATTTCAGTAAAATAATTCATCAAAGTGTATTGATCATTCAGAACCACCACAGAAAAATGATCACGTAGAGTGGCTGGGTCAAGGTTAGCGCTACTTGAAACGTCAAACCACTATCTTTTAGCCCTTCACACCCTATCACAGGATGCATATTCTTAATACTGTTCTGTACATTTCTTACGGTGCTAATAAGGAGAATTCGTTTAATCATAAAGAGCCTCTTTGGTTAGTGATCATTTTTATTTCCTCTCTTGACCTTAATGCGTGATTCAAAGGTGATATTGTAATGGGAAATAAGAGGCCAGTAGGGGTCCAAGAGTTAAGCTGGTCATTCCAACCCATGTTCATCTTCTGCATAATTGACCATTCTCGTTGCTTTCCGGTAGTCTTGTGTGGTTTCCTTTAAAACACACATTATTTTGCTTGTCGTGAAAATCGGCTTAAAATATCTTAGTGTAAAACCTGCATAGGACACTGGGAACGAGCAAACAGGAGGTATCGTCTAATTTTTTTTGGGCAGAAAACTCTCTCTAAAATAGAATTGCCAAAAGCATCTGAATGCGCACAAGTGGAATGACAGAAAAACAGCCGTATCTCAACACAAACAACATAACATGCAACGATATTGGACAGACCTGTTCACGATGCACAACATTGACTCGTGTCTTGACATACGGGAATGAGTTGGCAGCAGTCAAAATCGTCTTTCTCTTGTACTGGGTGACCAGTTCACCATGAGGCTTTCCGCTCGGTGTGAAAGGAGTTTCGTACATAAATCTTCCTATGAGTTTGAAAAAGTAATCCATTTATAGATAACAGAGCAATTCTCGATTGCTAGCCGTGAAATTAACCAAACAACCAATCAGAAATGTGGAAAATTTCGGCTCTGACTTGGTGTAGACTACACACTTGACATAAAACAATTCAGAACAAAAAGACAAAGGAACGAAGGAAATAATGAAAACATGGGTTAAGAGGGCGGTGTTCTACAGTGACGTGTACTGTGTCTTCTATACCAAGGGGGAGACAAAACAACAGAAGGAACGCATCAAAATACATACTTGTAACCTACGGTGAGGGAAAACAGGATTGGCAAAATCGAAATTGGTTTTTATTCAGCATCTGATTGGACGAGAAGACAGTTTGAGTTTTCTAAACCAATCAGGAAGCGTATTACTTCCAGCCCTCTGCTCTTAAAGTCTAAAGGAGAATCAGTTAGACTGTCAAAGTGTTGTGAACATACTTAAGTTGAAATTCTTGTCAAAATAGGTAATACGATCCTTCAATTCATATTCGTCAAAATATGGGTCCACATAGGTAAGTTGGATGTAAGCTTTTTCTGGATTCAGCTTGTCTTGTTCAACTGCGTTGGAATCTTTGATTACTTCCAAAACATCATGCCCGAACTTGTCTCCATAAAATGCCTGAAAAACAAATACCATACTGAGCTCCTGTTTCGTTAATAAATCAAATTGAATTCCAACACCAAATAAATGAAAGCCTGTGTAAAGGTTTTTGAAAGTTGTGCTGCAAACAAGATGACTCGTTTGTTTGATTAGACGATGCTCGAGACAATCTGCAGTGCGAATCGAATTTCCCAATCTGTGAACTTGGAAAAAATATATGTGACTACATTGTTCAGTTGGAAACACACAGTCGGTGTGAAAAATTAGTGAACACTGTTTCTTTAGTTATTTTTACCTCTAGTTAGAGTGCTTTTAGATTCAGTGTCGTAAAACAAAAACCAAAGTACTGACAACGGTGAGAATTCAAAGAAACCCGTCCAAACTACCTAGAGCGCGGGAAAACGCGAGCGACCAAGTTGTGATTAGTTTTGCTTTTGCATCTGATTGGTTGGTAAAGTGGTGCAAGGTTTTTCGACACCCAATTGAAAATTTCTCTATCCGCCAGGTACAACGTTCCGACACAATTGAGGCTATTTGAGTTCGGACTGTGGTGTGGCGACAACGGAAGCAAACGAAATTACCATATCTTAAGTTATTTTCGTGGTGTGCGAAACAACCTTCAACTCGAAAAAGTCAACGGAATTTAGACTACTGGGATAAAAACACAAAGCGGTTGTAATAAACCTAGAAAAAACCAGGATGGCTAACTATAGGGAACATGAGAACGGATTGTTACCGACGGACTGGTAAATTTCAGACAAAGTTTTTCGAGATGCACCAACAAGGCCTAATAAACTAACCTGCAAACGATGGGACACTTCAGGAAGCTTCGTGATGGCGGGTTCTTTGTAAATGTACTCCTCTCCGTCCAAATCTCCAAATTTAGATCCATAAAAACCGACTCGGAAGTATGTTCCCAACATACGCTTTCCTTCCTGAAAATAGCAAATCTCGCTGCTTAAGTGAAACCTCTCTTCACATCCAATAAAAGGGAATCAGTTAGTTTCAACCCAACAAGACATTCACTTTTTGCAGGATTCAGTTAGCGCTCCGCCCTCTCTGATTGGCAGTTTTCAATTTTTTGAAAAAAGAAAAGGATTTTCCTAAGAGTGAACATAACGAAGGAACGAAATTCGCTTGCAAAGTATTACTCGATGCATGGGTTTCATAAACAGCTGGTAACCCCCCGCCTATAAGACCTCTAACCGCCGTTTGTTGAGCCTGCAAGCTCTTGCGTTTGGATTTTGTCTTACGGCCCATTTCCCGGCATGTTTATAAAATCCATGTTTGTGCATGACACGCTTAGTTTCACAGGTTGGTTTCAGTCGCCTACATATGGGATTGAGTCCGAAGAAACAACTGTAAATTGGATCTACGTTTGTTAAATACAAGTGAGTAAGTATTAATACAACAAAGACAAAAAAAAAACCTAAGCTCTTAACAAACACCTCAATTACTGACAGCGTTTATGTCAAAATGACTAAACATGCAATCTATGAAAATTATGTCTCACCGTCTGTATAATCTTGCCGAATGCTTCTGAAAGCCTCTGATGAACCTGAGTCAGCTTCTTATAATCACGTTTTGCTTCTAGAATCGGGATCAGCAGTTTATACACCTCATTTACACACTCAAATAAATGAGATCGAAAAAACGTGTTTGCAGCTGATTCGAGTAAAGATACCAATCCATTCTCGCAGAAGTACTTCCCAGTGCAAATACCCTCCTCATCCTGGACAAAAGAACAAAAGATAAAGACTAACAAAATAACAAGGATAGCACGTACTTAACTCTATCACTCCCACTAATCGGTAGGTAAATTCTCATTACAGTTTTATTTCACTATAGAGCAGACAGGGTTACAAGGGAATTTTTCACCGATATCTCACCGATTTATCAGGAGTTTCGGACAAAGAAATGTGTTGTCTCCAGTTAGGAGAATAAGTTCCCAGGTCTTGAGAGTTTGAAGATTAAACGCCTAGCATGTTCGAACACGGGTTGACGAAGAATAACCACCCTCACATCAATGACAAAAACAAAACCAAAACAAAACAAAAAATCCCAAAGTGTGTCATGCGTCCATTCCTGGGCCCAGTAGTTCAAATGGCAGATAACAATATCCTAAGGATAAATTGTTATCCAGCCGAAAGAGTGTAAACAAAACGTACTGCGCTATCAACCGGACATAGTAATATTGCTTCATATGCTGTGTTGGGAAGGCCAAATTACAGACTTACAGGTGATACTACATCATCTGAAATAGCGCTTTCTTCCAGCACATTGGGGGATATCTTCTCAAACGAAACGCATCCAATAGGTAAGTGCGGCTTGTCTTCCAACATACTCAGGTACTCAGAAACTAAACCTGCTGTGTGTACCAGACACATGGCTGCCTCCACTTTATTCTGCCAGAAAGAAGCACAACAAAAGAAAAAGGAGGTAATTTGGTATTATCAACCAGGTTGATAACGTAAATTGACCACCTTAAAGAGTTTCATAACTGAAGTTTCGAGCGCTAGCCCTCAGTCGGAGCGTTACTCCTTCGGTTCTCAATACGTTAACTTTGAAACTCTTGATGGTGGCCAATTTACGTTATCAACTTAGTTAACAATACCAAATTACCTTGTTATACTCTCCCATCAACGCAGCACCGCAGTTTCTTTTACCTCCTTTATTCAGTAGATCATCAACAAGGAAATGCGGAGGATTTGAGCTTTGTTTCACTGTTAGAGTCCTTAGCATTATAACACGCCAACTTAACAGACACTTTAATGATTCGACTGTGAACTAGCGGTTTGTTATTCAAATGCAAATAACTTCCAAGTTTGATTGCGAAAGCGCTTCTACTCTTCCCAGTAGACCGCGACACCCACGACTTTCTTTGCCGCCTTGAGAGTAACGTTTTTGAATGAACATCACGTAATATGGAAAATTCAGGTGCATTTCAATGCACCACGTGATTGGTTTGAAACAAACTCACGGCATTACTCTGAAGACGGCAAAAAGATTCGTTGGGTGCAGCGGTTCACTGGGAAGAGTAGTGAAACATTCTCGTCCTCATAGCCCTTTTTGCTTCTCTTAGCCGGCGCCGGCTAAGAGAAGCGAAAAGAGCTTTGGGGACGAGAATAGGCCCGAAAAAGATCAAATGACTTGTATAAGTTGTATTTAGTTTAGGAGAGTTTAAATTCCGGAAGAAGCTGCAGTTGTAATGGTTCACGAGTGTTAGAAAAGTTTTAATCAACATTCAGAGTCGTTTTATTCAAACTATTATGCGCAATTTTTCGCTTGCTTACTGTCCAGACCTCGCTCCTCTTGTCACAAACTTTCCCACCCCATCCCCTTTAGATGTGTCCAAGCCGCAACAATCATTACCACACCCTCTCCCACAAAGGCTGTGTTTGTAACAATTATCGCTTCCGAAGAAATTAGAATTTCGCGCTCGGTGAGCTGGCTACGCGCCGGTGATTCCTAACCTTTGCCTTGCAAAAAATAGAAACCCTTTCCTTCAAACAATAGATAAGGACATAAAAGGAACGAAAGCTTGACTTATTGTCCGGCCAAACTCCTAACCAAAAGTTTGATATGAAAGGGGGCCAACGAGTCATCATTCGAGTCCAGTCAGGTTATGATTTCTTGATGCACTCGAATTAAAGTGATCACATACTGAATGCGGTTAAAAACGAGACTTGAGCCAGCTTGGCCAATTAATTCCTGTGAGTGAAGTTTACTCACTATTACAATTACGGAAGAGCACCTACGCTTGATGCAGCGTTCACGCGGAGTCCAATATCTAAGAGAATATGTCGACCGGTCAGATTGAAAAATTGGTTTCCAAGTGACGGCACTTCGTTCGTCTGTACGCAAATATGTATTTCGCGAGTGCAACAGGTTGCATCGTCAGACATTCGAAACAAATGAAAGGAATTAAAAATTACATAGAGCTTTACCCCCTCGCTTGGATAAATCAATACGGTATCTAAAAGCTATTGGTACCTCGCCGTGTTTGGTAGCCATGTTGCACAGCCACGTCAGTCGTAAATCAGGTGAATTTTGATATCTAGCATGAAAAAGATGAATACATGTGAATGCTACAGCTAATTAGGTGTAAATGGATTACAATGTTATGTGCTGCTTGAAGAGACACCGACACCCTGCGTTAAAATAACTATACGGACGAAAACGTAGCACTCTTTGTCTTTCGACCTGCCTCGACTGTGTTTCAATAGCTTACCTCAAGGTATTGTGATATTGGCTACTGCCCGCCTGCGATATCTCAAGAACTCATTCGTAAACCATCCAAACGGCGAATCCGAACTGACGACTGGGGTTCAAATATTCACGGGGGAGAACGTGTATTTTCTCTTAGAACTTCTCTTTCGATAGTGCATTTAGCATCACTTTTTAAGTTCATTATCGGAACTTGGCGAACACCCGAACTCTCCCTGACTTAACTGCAGCACAAAAGTTGGGCATCCGAAGAGAGTCCGAAATCATCCGAAGAATATCCGATCAGCGTTTGGTGGACCATTGATTTATAAACTCAACAGAGATCTGAGTTTTTCCATCTTTGGAACAACATCTCAAAACATTATTTTGATGCAGTCACCTTCATCCCTTTTGTTTGACGATTTGACGAATGCAAGAGCGCCTGCATCAGAAATCTTGCGAACATCACTTACCCTTTGGCAATCCTGTACATCAAGTCAATCAACATTTCTGGATCCTGAGTAAATGAGATTATAAAATGATGAATACGGTTTCAATAAAAGTCAAGAAAAAAATCGTCGCGGAAATGTTACTTTCTCCTCACATTTTTCGAAATATTTTATATCGTGAAATCGATAACTAGCGATGAGCAGTAAAGGAAGCTGGAACAATCCTTGGGAGTTATCCAAAAACTTAACATGAATGCAAGGAGAAACTTGTGCTTGGCAAATCACACAGTTTCGGTAACTTATCACATGCGGGGCAAAATTACTGAATGCTGATTAGCTGAGACTGAGAGCATTTTTTTCTTAATCACGAGGGCACTTTTGACAATCAAAAGGGCTTGATATCTTGATGCTGATTGGGCCTTTTCGCTGTTTGCGGCAACGATTATCGATTGCAATTAAACCGAATGAAGCCGTGTAATCTTTTTAACTGTATTTTGAGAATAAAACGTTCATTGAATCTATTGGTCAGTTACGCTTATTTATGGCGGCATTAAAAGAGCTTCATCGCGCGGATATAGTACGCGAATGCAATTCCCTCAAACATTTTGCCCTACATGTGATAAACAGGTAATCTCAAGTACCTACGGGAAATTAATGATTAATTTCATTTGTATTTCCAAAGCTTTCCCAAAATTGAAAATATGCGTGAAATTAATCCTTCATTGCCCACGGGCCCATGCAATTTCATATACAAAGCGAAACCTTAACCTCAATGTAAAGAAAACTTGGCAAAGTTTTTACAGAAGGCCTACAGATATAATAACAATGAGAGAAATTTTTAGCCAATGGTTGTGCAGAGGAGAAACATTAATGTAACGAAGTGATCAAATCATGCACGGTAAAGGTCTGAGATATAAAAAAAAAAATAGTGGCTGATCTTATTCGAGACTCTCTTTCGGAAAATAAAACGCCTTCACAGCAGGAACTGAAAGAATCCATCAAAAACGTGTACAACAGGAACTAAAAATTGTACCTCTTGAAACTCTTTCATCTTGACTGTGTCCGACAGAATCATGTGAAGATTGAACACCAACTCCCGCACCTAGGAGAAATACGAGATTTATTTCTATCCCAGTATAAGAATGATTACAGTAACAACCCAAAGGTAAGAGAGCGACAAAACACAATCCATTGAGTATGCAAACGGAGTCCTTTGTTTTTCCTCCTCTCCATAAGAAGCTAGACTAAAAGAAATTCTTGACTTAAGTGATGAGTATTTGCAGTAACTAGAGCAATATCTGTCCGTGAATTGCGCGATGTGATTTGGTATGTGTGGCTAGGTTACTAAGGTGTTTTCTTGTTTGTATATTTGTCTTTATCTATTAATTTTTAGAGCGGGGGCATCCACAATCGAACTTTTAGGAAATTTGAAGAGAATTTTCCATAAGTTGAATAACTCTTTGAAATTTCCAACCACTTTCATAGGTACACTTTTAAAATAGCTTCAATGTCCGTGAAAATAGCTGTGAAAACATTCACCTGATCCGGAAAAGTGCTCGTTCGCAGCTCCTGGTCTGATTCAGCATAAGTAATGATTGTTTTCAATGACCGACGGAGGTGATCTTCATTAAATGCCTGCAAGCAAAGAAAGAGAGTTTCGCGGTTACTGCGCCGAGCAAAGCGTTAACGACCCATCACAAAAGCATTTACTAATCATTAAAAAATTTCATAATCTAAAATAAAGCTCAACTAACAGTCGAAACCACTTATAACTGTACACCTGGCAAACTAAATTGTAGTTAACTGCACAAAGAAGCCGAAACAAAAATCATTTATGAACTCACTTGTGAAGTGCCAACGAGACTGGAAAGTGACATTGTAACTTGCATCTTGACCCTTGCAAAATTCTACAGAATAATCGTTCGTACAAATAAACACCAGAATTAGGGATAAGGTCCTAAAGAAACTGTGCTGCTGCCTTGTGTGTGTGAGGGGGGAGGAGGGAGGGGGGAGGTATAACACGATCATTTGGTTTTAGCAACTGAGTTTATAATGTATATTGGTCATCGTCAAGAGTTTCTGAAGCCAACGTTACCAACGCTAGCCCTTCGTTAGAGCGTCTTCGTCTGAAAAGGGGCTAACGCTCGAAACGTCAGCTTCAGAAACTCTTTAAAAATGCCAATTTTCATAGTCAACTCAGTTGATAAAATCAAATTATCGAAACACAAGAAAGTCCTCTGTTTAACTCTCAATCGCAGCACTTTGTGTAGGATTAAGCTTGAGTCTTAGTATCAAAGTAGGCTAAAGTGCCGGAGCTTATCCCGGTTCCTGAAGCAACTTGAAGCATTGCCCTCCTTCTGGATGGAAAACTCGTCCATTGTCACCCCAACGCAATTCGTCAGATTACCTACCAAGTTTGCAAGTAGTCATCACCAATAACCCTCGGCGAAGAGAGGTACTGTAAGGGGAAAGCGTCCTACCCGGGACAACTCTACGTTCGAAAACTGGCCGGTCAATGCGACAACGACCCACCAGAGCTCAAAACCGGTTCCATCTGATCTTGAGTCCAAAAGCCCGTTTACTAAAACGTCCTTTTAGATACCGGTTCTGAAAAGCTGCCCTTTTTTTCAAATTTTGTTCCGTTTACATAACAAATCGATGTGAAAATGGATTTAAAACTCAAACAATAAGTATGCGAGACAACGAAGCCAAAATGACAAGCTGTTTAGCAAAACTACGCACTACTTTTTTCCGGCTTAGACTTTAAAATAAATATGACCTCGGGCCCGCTAAGTTCGCGGAACTTTCAAGAAACAGGCCCAAGAACGAAACCACTTCGCCAAGCGCGTCTCCCACACATTTTGGAAGCCCAATACTCTTCAACCAAAGTTTACCACCAATGGAGAAAGAAAAGCAGCAGCACTATTTAAAATGAGTGTCCAACAATCAGTTACAACTTACATTTCCTATTTCAAAATTCTGTCGCATGAGGAGATAGAGTGACGCGCTGGCCTGAGCCCGAATACTACTAAGAGCCGAGCTGCAATGGTTTAGTAGTCTGGAACACAAGTCTGCACAAAGCTCTGTGTCATCTTCAAACAATAGCTCCGGGAACTGGAAAGAAAAGAGAGCAGTATGTTGACAATCTACATGCAACACCTATGTCTCGACAAAACGATGCAGACATCAGCTATCTAACCAAAGAAAAAGCTATTTCAGATGATAAGGCTTCTATTAATAGTCTCGTGGAGGTAGTTACGTTACCTTATAGACAATTGATCTTTGAGTCGCAAATATGTTCTGCAAGACTCTTTCACTCTGGTTGTAGCTCAAAGAATGGAGTAAAACCCGCAGGATTCCACTCAATACAACACGAAGAGACTCTGAGGAAGACACGGTCTGAAAGAGAAAGTTTCCACTTAAATACTATCCAACGACAAAGAACAGGACCTCACATTACAGTCCTTTAAGCCTCAATGCAGACGTCTCAAAGGCCATGGTAAGACCAGCCAAAACAACTTTAGGGGGAGTAACATATTTCAAGGCCTGGATTTAGAGCCATCTCATATGCTGCCTCATTTTCTCTTGATTCAAAGTAGCTGAATACTATTAAATCATATTTAATGTGGTTAACGACTAGGAGCTATGATCGCGAGTGTTTTTGGCGTTCTTTGAGGCCGTGTTGGCCATTTGTAACGCTGTTGCGTAACTATGTTTGCGTTTGTAGCGTTTACCATTGTTCGTTAGCGTGGGGGCAAATTCCTGTCCAGCGGTATGTTGCTGTGGCGCATGCGCATGCCATGCGCCTACGTTTTGTTTGCGTTGTACTGGAAGCTTTGTTAGCGTGGCGTGGCGTTCTAGTAGCGTAGGGTTTCTCTTGGTTCCCCTCCCTCCCTCCTCTTCTTGGTTTAAGGTCTCCCCCTCCTTCCCGGGATTTTTTTCCCTTGTTTCGGGGGTTTGTGCATTTTATTTCCACTGGGCTTCTGGCCTCAGTGTGACGGGTGCTATAGTGGGGGGCTGGGCGCAGGTTGGCATGCCTGTGGGTGTTCTTTCGCCTTGAGGTGTAATTGCGGTAGCAGCCCCCTGGCCCATGGGCACCCAACCTCCACTGGCGACGCAGGCGTTAACAGGTAAACAACACTGACCTGTACCAAGTGCTCAAGTGTATCAAGAACAATGGTGCTGACTTCAGCAGCAAGCCCTCCTTCGATTTGAGCATTGACTTCAACTTCAGGACGCACTCTTTACGGGAGACAACGAAAGAAATAAAAATTGGTAAGAGTGATTTAACTACAAGGAATAAAACGAACACCATAAAGACTCTCTGATAAACCACTTTATCTAAAGAGCCCTTCTCCCTGGTAAACTCTAGTAAACCTTCCTCTCCAAGAGGTTCCCTCTCTTGCAAACCCACACTCTTCAATTACCCCTTCTCTGAAATAACCTCCGTAGAGGATTCAATAAGCGCTACCTCTCTAGATAAACCTTCTGCTTCCCCCTTCTAAACTAAAACATCAGTGCCGTTACTCACAAGGAGAATATAACGTTTCTGTACGATATGCACTTGTATCTGAAAACCTTCACTAGCTACCTTTCAAATATGGTAGGGTTCCCAACCGAAAAAAAGAATAACTCGGTATATAATACTCACTAAAGCTGGGCGACAGATGGAAAGTATTGCCCACCATTTTGGCTCTCATCAATAAGATTTTATTTTTTATTTTTAACCCCTGGGGTTTATTGAAACGTTTTCGGTGTGTACCTGTCTTGTTGTTCCGTAGCCTGTCTCCATTGTGTTTGATCCTTTCGCCATCTTAATCGAGCCTCAGGGGTTGGTGACTGGCCTTTTTCTGTTTGGAAACAAAACACGAAATAGTTTAAACCGAGGGAATATTTTAATGTGTTGCACGAAAGTTTTTCAGTAGTTTAATTTTGCGGATTTGTATGTTTTTTTTTTCTGCTCATAAATACGTCAACTTGTTGTGGCGAACAATTTTCAAATGCTTCATTTGTCAAGCTCTGCAAAGCAGCGTTTTCTTTGGAAATGAATCTGTTTGTTTACGAATAATGTTGTCCCAATGGCGGAATGAAGACAAACTCTGATGCCCTACGAAAGCAATCCAAGGTGCAATCCAAGGTGCAATCCAAGTAATGCAATCCAAGCAGAGCAATCCAAGGTTTCTTCCGTGTTACCCTTTGTGGTAAACGTTTATGTCTTTCTTTAATCATTTTGTTTTGTTACCTAACATCACTCTGCTATGTCGCTGCATCATTTCTCTCGCGGCTCCTTTATTTCCAAGTAACATCTCTTCTATTTTTGCTTTTGCATCCTGCTGCGCCTTCGGTCTTGGCACAGTTTGAAACTGCGAAGACTTCTGCACCTTGCCGCCATATTCAAACAGAGTGATGCACAGCCGAAGAACGTCCAGCAGCAAGCCAAGTCTGGAATGGTACAACGATAAAAAAGGTTTACCGCAGTTTTAACCACCTAACTCTTAAACTAAGAGACATCATGATTTTGAAGCTCCAAAATGAAAAGGAGAAAGATGTTTTTCGTTTTGTCACGAGCACCGGACAGTAAAATAGTTCCGAGTCTCATGAAGAAAAGAACCTCAAACCTTCTGATTCCGCGCTCCTCATACACTTATCCAAAAACTTTACCCCAAAACAGAAAGTCGTTTTCGGTGACCGATTACAGAGGAAGCGTATGAAAGGGAGGCCCAATTTAAAAACAATCCCTTTGAGGCCCATCTGGGTGAAAGTGAACCGTCATTGAGGTTAGGTAGCCTGTTCTATGAGTTCAGTGGGTAAAACGAAGAACGACAGAACACAGCGCAGTTATAGAGGAGAAAGCAAAATAACCGAGGGAGGTTTGGGTATGGTCTCTTAATAACCCGACCCAGACCTCATTCATTTCGCGCTGCCGCTAGTACTGCGCCGTTACTGGGAAATGCGAATTGGTGACATACTTAGCAGGTTGTTGGTCAGCCCACCAATCTCTTAGCACGTCACTAGCCATGTTCTTCAGCACCCACAACAGACATACCAACAGGTTTCTGGTAGCTTCGAGGCTTAGCTGCTGTGGTTTACTTTTCTGTACAACAAAGCAGAGTATCACAAGCAAGTGAGGCGGTGCAACATCAAAATCTTCCAAAACTTTTTTTCTTTCGTCTCACGAAGGAGTCACTCTACGCTGTTGGATATCTATAACCGTGTTCACTACCAACACGATCAGTTAAACGTATCTTAATTTACAATAATAAAGGAACTGAGTTTATAAAGAAAATGTGGGGTTACGTCGGTAGCAGTGGAGGTCTAAAAAGCGTTTGCCCTTCGTCAGAGCGAAAGAAAAGGGGCTAACGCTTGAAACGTCAGCTTTGGAAAGTCCACACGGTGCCATTTACATTCTCAACTCAGTTGTTAAAACCAAATTAACTCAATTTAAAATAATGATGGAATTGAGTTTTTGAGATAAACTGTGTCATCTGTAAAATTAAACTTTTCATTACTAAGAGTAATCATTCGAAGAATTCGCCTTATTATAACAATACACTGTCAAGCATAAAGATCTTAAAAAAAGAGCAGTCATCATCGTTGTTGTGTTGATCCAACAGAAAATTCTCCCGAACAACCAACAAAAATGGTGTGGTCATCAGTTAAGAAAATCTGCTTCCAAATCTTGAAAGTAACGGGTTAAAAAGCTTTCGCACCTGAATATTACAATTATCAGTTGAGTTAGGCGCGGAAAAGTTGGGTGAAAAGGTTTTGATGGTAAAATAACAGTGTTCTTCCGAGCAACCTTCCTTGTTTCCATTGGTAACCGAACCTCAAGGGCTGTGCGCCACCAACAGTCAAACGTGAAAGCCCGCCAAGAGAATTCAAACAACACGTTGCTACTGGAAACAGAGCAACGATTTTAACGTCAAAGCTGTAGCTGCTAAACTTCCGTAGCGCCTAACTCAACTAATATGGCAGTTTTGTAAGATTAAGAAAATGAAAAAGAATGAAAGGCTTTCATGAACTTTCTAACAACCTGCGATGAAAATTCATTCCTGCTGTCATCAGATCCCTTTAAGGTTGATACACTGGACGTGGCTATAGCCATGGCAACATCAGGGGTGAAGCTGAAGTTGTCCTTGGTACCATACCCATGTAGCTGGTGTAAGGCTCCTACCACCAGTCCAGCAATGGGTAGATAGAGAGCCGCCACGGCTGAGCGACAGGAGACGTTATCATAGCGGGTGTCTGAGTCATGACAGGCTATCAGATCACGTGTGGTGTCTATAGCTTGGCATATTATGGTCATGTCCCTAAAAAAAAATCAACAACATAAAGTTCGTATGCTGTTGGAAAAAATCACCAGTTGCTGTGAGAATTTAGGGCTTGGTTTTGCGACGATAAAAGGAAAAACCAACTTATCAATATCTAACCATCAGGGCACAGTTGTTCAAAGTTGAATAATGCTATCCATTCAAAAAGACGCAATCCAGGGGATAAGTGTTAACAATATGAAGTGCGCTATCCACCAAGGGCAGGTGACAGGAGCTGAACCGAGAAATTGCTATCCTGCGGCTTATCAAAACGTACTGCACTATCCACCAAATAGAGATTTATCCGATGGATAGCATTCTCCACACTTCGAACAACTGCGGCCTGAATGTAGTTTCTTGGGTATTTTCCTCCTCTTCAACCGGCTGTTGTGAGTACTCAGGGTTTAGTTTCACGACACTTATAGAAATACACTCTGACCAACATTTAAAACATTAGACACCCGTCATTAAGGAGGTCGGAGGCTTTGAGGGGATCACGCGGTTTTCAAAGGGAATGGAGATCAGTCGTCGCTAACAAAGTACAAAAGTTGACTGCCAACGAGGGGTGAGGGGAGAGAGAGGGGAGAATCGTGACAAAACCAAAATCATCCGGACCCCCTCCATAATAAATAATGAGCAGTTCCTCACCCTCCTTCTAAAGCCAGAGCCAGTTCAGATAGCACCAGACCAGCCAGGAAATGCTGCTGTCTAAAAGGTGTTGAAAGTTCCGCCATACTGTTGCCGATCACTAAGGTGTAGGTAGACATGGCCGAGTCGATTGACAAGACAGAAGCTGTAGGTGATGAGGGAGGAGTGGGGAAGAGGGGACATGGGAATGGCAAATTGAGGGTCACGTAGTGCTCATGGCTGCAAACGATCCTCAGGAACTCGAGTCTTAGCTGGTTCGCTGCTGGCTCATTGGTCTCATTGGTGGCTTGATAATGCATCTAATGAAAAGTAATAGGAATTATTTTAGTCTAATACTTAACCCTGCACTGGAGAAGGAGAACTTTTGGAAGGATGTTTCTCCGTCTTGTTGTTACCTGTCCGACACCAAAATTCTTGCGTGGCAATAGGAAAAAAACAGACATAAAGACATGACGCACATAAACGAACTATGCAAGCGCAGGGAGATAGGAATAGCTGGAAGTAACTAAACGAAAAAGAAACAATGAACTTGTGCTGATCCCGCTGTAGTTGAAGCTTAAAAAGTTATTAATAAAGTGGAAGTAGAAACAACTTTTCCTTGTATCCCTACTAGTTAAGAAAGTTAGGAAATAGAGGGGGGCGGTTATTCGAAGGGGGCGCTTGTTTGACATTGTGGCCTAGGGTGTGGGCGCTTATTCGAGGAAATACGGTGATTAAAAATTTCTTTTTTTCATCAACATTAAACCCCCTACCCCCTAACCCCCCCCCCCTCTCCCAAAGACTTCGACAAAGCCAGGAGACGGGCTTTAGCGAGATGTTTGCATACCTCTCTAAAGTAATGCCTGATAAGCTCATACACAAAGCCTCTGTCGATCAAGGACAAAAGATCGTACAAGAAGAAGGCTAAACTGGAGTTCAGCCGTCGGCAGAGGGTAAAATCCTACAATTAAAACGAAAAAAAAATTAAGACAATCTGTAGAGAAAATAAACTATAAAAATATCATATACGAAGAAGTAATGTCAAGTAAATTGTTTAACTTTGTGCTTTTCATCTTATTCCCTTCACTCAACCAAGCCTCGGTGAGAGGAGTTGCTGAAAGCCATAAAACCAAAATAATTCATAGAGAGAGAGAATGGAGGATTCTTAAGTGGAGGGCAAGGGATGTAAAAAAAAACAAAGCCCCTCAAGGAAAAGGCATGAATATTCTTGTCACAACACACGTATCTCCAATCTCAGCCAAAAATGTTGGGAACACGACCCTATTCCAGCATCATTGTTGTTTATATATTGTAGTTTTGGAGAAAGCTATTTTTCTTCTTGTCACGAGTGTAAAACAAAGTAAATATTTTGAGTCTTCATGAGGAAATGAACTTCAGACCTCCGAATTCCTCGCTCTGATGCTCTACCACTGAGCCACAGAGACT